AATCGTTATTTCGACGTTTGGTAACAATATATATAATCAATTATAATATATTATATATAATATATAATTAATTATAATACGTGTATGACACGTGTCAAACGTATAATATTAATAAACTAATTAAACGTCAATTTAAACAAATTATTCTCGACTATTATGACAACGAACTCTATTTCAAATCCGAATCTAATAAAAATTCGTTCGCAAAAAATAATAAAAAAGAAGAGAAAAAAACAAAAGAAAATTATTTCACGCGTCAGCGGGGTGGGGAGAGGGGGGCCGGGGTAAAAAAGCTGTCTAACAAAAATTCAAACTGATCGAAGTGATAACTTTTCTCTCTTTTTCTTTTTCCTTTTTTTTTTTTTTTTAAAAACGTAACCCATTCGATTATATATACTTTAATGTTTGAAACTGAAATGAAATAACCCGCGAACGGGGAAAGGCGCGGGGAGAGAGGGGGGGGTGGTTAGTTTCCATCAAACTTTTATAGAAAAAACGTTGATGGAACGTAAAAAAAATTTTGATGATGTTTTCATTTTTTGTTTTTTTTATTTTTTCTTCCTTTCCGAATATAAACAAAATAAATTGATCGATTGTTATTTAAAATTTCCTATTTAATTTATATTCGGACAAAAAGTTTAACAAAAATATATTATTTCTCTTATAATAAAGAAAGTAAAAGGAAAAATTGTTTATGTTACGTGCTTTTATGGAACATTAATGTAACACGAATACAATGTTAATGCGTTATAATTATCATAACGATGATGATGATAATGATAATGAAAGAAAATAAAATGAGATTGAATTATGAGAAATGAATTTAATCTACGTAAATTTAATGTAGACAAATTAGAACCCAGATTTCTAAAAGAAAAGAAAAAGAAGGGTGGTGGTATCTTGTGGGGTTGGTCAATAAATCCGAAAAAGCTTCGTGTGTTTTTTTTTTGTTTTTTTTTGCTACTTTCTCAGTAGATTTTTTTTTTTCCCTTCTTTAGCTGGGTCAGAGTGAATCAACTAGCTAGCTAGCTGATTTTCTCCTTTATATACCCAATTATCTTCTACCCTAGCACATTTTACACGCTTTATTATTCGCAATCCATACAGATTTAACCATCTTTTTCTTCGACCTACTGACAAAAGTGTATATACATAATCTTGATGCTGGTTTTCTAGTAATGGTGTGATAGTAATGGTACTGGTACTGGTACTGGTGGTTGTTAGCCCCTCATACCCAGTAGTTTAATTATAAAAGCAAATATTATCGAACCAAACAGAGTTAACTAGATAATTAAAACTTGGAAGATACACCACTTAAACTACGTGGTACTTTGGGAATCCTGGTTTATATATATGTATGTGTGTATTATACGTTTCTATTCTAAAACTGAGAAAAGAGAGAAAAAATAAATCAAGAATTACGAAAGATAAGAAAAAGATTTATAGCCAAATGATAGATAAATGATGATACAAAAATTCCTAAATTTTGTTAATAATTTTTCAAACTTATGTGAAGTATCATTTTATCAATCTTGTCTTTTAACTATCTTTAAAGATTATTAATACAACTGATTTTATTAAATAAGAATCCTTTACTTTATGTAATTCAACTCGTACGTTTTTATTGTTAATTTAAAATCAATCCTAAAAATGAATCCTATCTTTTATTTACTTCAACACAATCTTATCTTATATATTCCAAATGAATCTCATATTAGATTGTTATTATTGTCAAATAGATATATATATCTAAAAAAAGAAAAGAAACTTAAACCCCAAATATAATAAAAACCATTAATTCCAAACCCTCCAAATCCTATTGTTCTAATATTATTTAATGATCAAACTTTTGATCATACAATGATGGAAAAAAGAATAGAAAAAAAAGAAACTTTAAAGAAAAAATCTTTAGAAAAGAAAAAAAGAAAAACTTAGAAGTATTTTGTAAGTGTATGTTACCATTATTATTATCTCCATAGTGCAGACCTTTCAACCCTTCCCATCCCATCCCCTACCTACCCCATCACTTTGCGTTTATACCACAGATCCTTTCGGATAAATGAATACCTTCCCTTCCGTCTCACAGGGTTGTAATAGTAGTAGTACTACCACACCATACCACCCTATAAGTAACACCCCTCTACACTAGTTGGATGTGGCAAATTTAAACGCTTTTACCCCGTGCTCATCGTGATTAACGGATACGAAGGACCTGACCAGGATGGTAGGGTAACAACTCGAGAAGAGGGTTGGGGGTGGGGGTGGGGGTGGGTTTGGAGGAAAAGGGAAGCATGGATCGTACGAATGGAGACGTGTTTTATGTGGAATTGCTGGTTGAATTACATAGAGCATATATATACGTGTTTCTATATATATTACGTATACACACACATACATATATGTAAACATAAATATATGTTATACCAATACATATAGGTTGAATTACATAGAACATATATATATACGTGTTTCTATATATATTACGTATACACACATATACATATGTAAGTATAAATATATGTTATACCAATACATATATTTACTTGAGTACACAAATCTCTTGAATACTCTCTAAAGTAGAGTCACCTACTAAACTGTAGTAAATCTAACCAAGCAACCAACCAATGAACGTATGAAACGGCATTGATAGGCAAAGGTAACCAGTTTCCTTCTCGGCATCCTCTTAGTTTCATTAAAGTTAACATTGAATAAGAAGACTATATCTATAGGATGGTATACGTGTAGATATTTGCTCGCGTGTATCAACCCTAACCCATGAAACTAAAACCAACGTCCGCGTTTGTACAAACAATTACAACGAGTTACTAAACTTAATCCACCATGATTGACGAATGAGTAATGAATATAAAGTAGAATATATAATATATTTCGAAAAATTCCCGTGGGTGATCTAATAAGATATTTTATATTCAACCCTTAAAAAAACAAGAAGAAAACTTATCGATTTCGGATTAAGAATTATATTAGGATGAATCCAAAATTCGTATGTTTGTTCAAACATTTCCAAAATAAATTTAACAAAAAAGAAAAAGGAACAATTCATTATGCAAAATTAATTTATTCCTAATATTATAATATAAATTGAAATAAATATTAAATATATTAAACGCGAGGATTAAAATAAATTACATGATCTATGATTTATATTTGATTTACAGGCACAAACGAAAAGTACAGAATCTATTACCGTGCAAAAGTGCAGCGGGTGCAGCAGCAGCAGCAGCGGCAGGACGAACAAGGGTAATTCCAGACTGCCAATCTCATGGTGGTTCGATGGGCAACAGCAGTACCAGTGCAGCCGCTGTACTCTACGAGGATTTACCTGACACAATGATGGGAGTGGGAGGAGGGGGAGGGACAACCAGCACCCATTCCTCTCAACTGCACAATCACTTGCCGAGTCATCAACAACAGCAACAACAACAACAACAACAACAGCAACAGCATCCTCATCATCATCATCATCATCATCATCATCATCCGATCGGTCAAGCGCCGACGATCGAGGTACGAGGTACAAATCCCCATGAACGGGGTGAACAACACCTACGGGAGCGACAACCGCAGGCCACGTTGCGTCCCCATCACCTCGACTATCTCGACTACCGGGACCCAAGGGCGATACTTCGTGTCACGGAGAAGCCCTCAAGGGCTGTGTTAGGTGGTTACCGTACACCACGAGCCTTACTAGCCAAATCTCAGGAAGTTTCACTTTCTATAGCTACACACGTGCCCCGTACTAATATTTCAAATATTACTATTAACAATAGTATCATTAATCAAACCCTAAATAATAATAACAACAATAATAATAATGATGAGTTACTTAACAATAGTCATCTCATTCTAGCCACACAAAATGCATTGATAACCAGTCAACAACAACAACAACATCAACACTTACCTAATTCTGCATTATCATCTAATCTCTTAACAAGTAATAATCTAAATGATGAGAACGATCGAAATAATCGCAATAAACACCATCATTATCACGACTACTATTATCAACACCAACACCAAAACGATTCCAATAATACTAATAGTAGTAGTAGTTGCATTTCTTCGACTACTCAACGTTCTTCTATTCGTACATATAACAACAAACAACAGCAACAACAATTACCTATAACTCCAACGCATAAACCAAAAACCAAAATGAATTCATTAAACAATAAGAATAATCCTATTTCCTATCGTCCAATAATATCAACTAACATTTCTCCTATTAAAGATCATGAATCTATTATCAGAAGACAATCTGTTGATTCCGAGGGTTATTCTTATATCGATTTTAAGGACACAGAATTAATCGAATCCTTGAGATGTTCACCAATCCCACAACCACCACCGTTACCTCTTATTCTTCCTCCAACCCCACCCCCTCCTCCTCCACCTCCACCACCACCATCATCTATTACTACCACAAAATCATCCTTGAAAACGAATTTCAAATTCCCATCATCAAATTCATCGTCATCCTCGTCATCGTCATCTTCTTCGACTACTATGATGACGTCATCGAATTTACTTGACTCCGAAGGTTACGCTTATATACTTGATTCGTGGTATAATAAAAAAACACCCGGTATTGCTAAACGAATAGTTGCCGATGGTACAGAGGAAGAGATGTGTCCTTTATGCACCATGCAACAAATACATCAACTACTCGCAAGGCCTGAAGAAATTTATTTAAATGTTCGTGACACGTGACATAAGTCGTCATCGTCATCGTCGTCATATATTGCAAAAAAAAGTATCCTCATTTAGAGTGAAAGAGAGAGACAAAGAAAGAAATATCTTCGTGACGTGTTTTCTCGCGCACATGCACAGACGCACGCACGTATGCGCACACATACACATACATAGACACATTACAATCATCTTGTATTGTGTATAACATCTAATCTAATCATTATATATATACTATATATATATATATATATATACACCACCTTAAAAAATAATAATAATAATATTTAATTTATTATATAAATTTTCGCGAGGAGAGAACGCATTTTTCACCGAGTGAAAAGAAGAAAAAAAAAATGAAAAAAAAAAAAAAGAAATATAAACGCGATAAACTATAATTTTTCTACGCGAGGAAAAAAAAGTAAGTCGCCGCACACCATCACTACCATCACCACCATCACTACCCGTAAAAAATTGTCGGGGGTCAACTTAAAAAAAAAAAAAAACAAAAAAAAAGAGAAAAGACGATTCACATATCCTATTTGAGAGATGAATGAGTATGAAAAAAAAATTCTAGGATATCTCATCCCTCGTTCCTTAGAGATTCAAAATAATAATAATAATATAAAAAAAAACAGACAAACGTAAATATTATTCCCCTCTTTCACCTCAATTTATTTTCCACCCCACCCTACCCCCCACACCGAAATTAATTCAATCTTTTCTCGATTCCAATTTTTAATCATTCTTATGGTTAACCTTAAAAATAGATTAAATAGAATGTGACCTGATTCACTATAATATTATCCTGAAATCTTTTTTTTTTTAGATAAAGATAATCATCTTTCGGGATTCAACGAGCTGAAACTTTTACGATTAAAATTGTCGTGTTTTCTTTTTCTTTTTTTTTCTCGACGAGATTCTATAAAAAAAGAACAAAAAAATGAATCAACTGGTAGTTGATTGTTCAGTGATACGTATGAAGGTATTTTTTTTTCTTTTTTTTTTTTTCATTACTTCACCCTCAACCAATCCAATCCATCACCACCCCCCTACACACACCCCACCTTCTTTTGAAAAAAAAAGTAATTACGTTTAAGTCTTTCGAATCGTTTCTTACCTTACATTCAATCGAATCAAAGATAATACCAGAAAAAAAAAAAAAAAGGAAAAAAAAATTGAAGCACGCACATTAATGAAACGACACTTATATTTTTTTTTTTTTGGTCGGTATTATCGAATCACGGTTTCCATATATTTATATAGGTAAATATTAATAATAACAATAATATGTTTAACGTTTCTCTCTCGTTTTGTTAAATAATTTTTTGTTTTCGTTTGTTTGTTTATAAATCTCTCCTTGACAATTTATTCGACACAATGTATAATATTAATTAAATGGAGGAGGAGGAGGAGGAGGAGGAGAAGGGGGACACTAGGAGAACGTTTTTACTAGTCAGTATTTATTTTGTTACTCGTGCCGTGCTTTCACAATCTCTCGATTTAAAAAAAAAAAAACCATTATAATAATAATAATAATAATTAAAAAAAAAAAAAAAAAAAAAAAAGATAAAAACGAGGATAGATATAAATTCGGAAACAAATTTATCGTATAAAATATATTCCAGTTTTAGCAGTTGGGCGTTTAGAGTGGGGCCTTATTGCCGGGTTGTGTGGGCACGGTAAAATAAAAATATAACAAATAAAAAAAACCATAAAAAAAAGCAAGTTAAATTTAGATTTAAAAAAAAAAAAAAGAAGAAAAAACGAGTAAAAGAGAAAAAAAATTTGAAAAAAAAAAGAAATTAAATACAAACAACTAAGAGCACTTTTTTTGTGACTGTAAATAGATGAATAGAGAAGTAACTCGTTAATAATTGTAAATAGTGTACGCAGATAATTGTAGAGTAAAATAATAATAATAATAAAAAATAAAAATACGAAAGCGTAATTAAAAAGAAAAGGAAAAGAAAAAGATAGGAGGAAGATAATAATAAATCGATTTTAAATAATCGAACTCGAACGAATCGTGTGCACTTGACGAAAAGAAAAAAAAAAACCAATTTGAAATTATTATTATATACGAATACTCTTATTTTTTTCTTTTTTCTTCCACCCCCTATACAAGACTCACCCCCTTAATCACTATTAATTTTTTTTACTAATTTGTTTCTCGTTTCGTTGCGAATCCTATATTAATATTATTATTATTATTATTATTAATTATTATTAATTATCGTCGTCGTCGATGTCATTATTATAATTATTATTATTATTATTATTTATTATTATTATTATTATTATTATTATTATTATTGTTTAAATTATCTAATTCGATGAACGATGCAATATTTCAGTTCGGTGTTGTATCTCATTGTCGTGATATGTAAAAACAAAATGAATGATGCGAGAGTAACGGGTTTAATTGAACGAATGAAAGAGAGAGAGAGAGAGAGAGAGAGAGAGAGAGAGAGAGAGAGAGAGAGTGCAAATGAATGAACGAGCGTTATTTTTTATTTCGTCACAATTTGCTTCTTACACTTGCACCGATAGGAGCTCTTTAAGAAAAAAAAGAAACGATCCAAAACAATTCTTCGCATTGTTAAACAAACAAACGCTACAAAAAAAAAAAAAGTTCATTAATCGAAAAAGATCACAATGGAAAAAAACAAAAAGATCGTACAAGTTAGCAAAAAAAAAAGTAAAACAAAAATGGCACTATAGATACAAGTATGAGAAGCAATTAAGCAAAATATTTTAGGGGATGATATAAAAAAAAAAAATGATAAAGGATTTATGATAGCAACAAAAATTACATAAAAAAAAAAAAATAAAAAAAAAAAAAAAAAAAAAAAAAAAAAAAAAAAAAAGAAAAAAACAGTTCTGTGTATACTAAACTATAAAGAAAGAAAGTTGGGCGGTGATGACATGATAAAATTTAAAAAATAAAGTCACTTTGCTGAAAAATTTGACAAGGAGTGGTTATTAAACCCGGTCCACAATCCCATCCCTCCCCCCGCCCCAACCCAACATCCCATCCCTTAAACCACATATTCGTATCCCTCGTGAATTAAAAACAAAAAAAGTCGTTCGGTTTTCTATTTTTTTACTTTTTTGTTTTTGTTTTCATTCACTCTCTCTCTCTCTCTCTCTCTCCCACCTCTTGCAAAGAAAAAAAAAATATATTTATATATATATATATAGAATTTATGGTTAGAGAAAATGTTTTAAATGATATGGGGGAGAGATTAGTATACTAGAAATACGTGGTTCATAAAACAAACGCGTAGAAAAATGAAATATCATCTTAGTCGTGATCGTAGATAAAACCGAAAATCTCCCCCCTCCCCCCACACACACACACGAAATACAGGAGAAACAAAAAATAATAACAATTTACACGTATAAAACTTGCACGAGTATTACACGTACACGTACATTTACATTTACACACACAGAAAGAAACGTATATACACGTAAAATATTACCAACACACGTGGACACGTGATGAATAACCACTTCTGTGTTGAAATTCTTTTTCTGAGGAAGATAAGGAAGTATGATAAAGGGAGGGGAGGGTAAAAAAAGGATGGGGGAAGGTAGGAAGGTAGGAAAAAATAGTATGCAACAATATGGATTGGGGAGGGGGCTTATAAAAAAATCATCCCTCTGGATAATCACAAAAATAGGATTCTTTCGATGAAGACGAAAAAAGGAATCTTAAAGTTAAGAAAAATAAAAATAAAAATTAAGACAAGTAATTAATAGGGGTTGACAGCTTTTCTTTATATGTATATGTAAGTGATGATATACGT